CTGTTATTATAAATTAATTATAATCACCCACCAATCCATACTAGGCCTGGTGGGTGATGGCCCAATGTCGCTATTCCATCCATAACGAAGGACTGTGCCCCAGCAGTGACGAAATTAATAGGTTTTTGATGTAATTCAAAAGTTTATACTTCCAATCTGAATAAACACATTTTAAATTTATTTTATTTAATAAGTGTTATGTCTGTTTAAAGAGTACCTACTAATAATTTAATTGTAACATGACTATTGTACCTATGTTTATGAATAAATTAATTCTATTCTTTTTTATTTCCAAAGTCACTTATAAAAAGCAGATAAAAATATACTTTTTACAAATCCAAAAATTAGACATCCCCAAGTTTTATGTGTGGCAGGGCAGGTAGCCATGTTTGCCAAACAGTTTCCGGATATTACTTTTGTATATACTTTAAATAAATCATGTGTAATTATAATTATTATTATAAATGTATGATATCATCTAATTTTATCTCGCCAACAATCACTTCATTTTTTGACTCTATATTGTATTAAATATGTGTTTGTCTCCACTGCATTGTCATGGCCTTTTCTCTTTTCTCCTTGCAAAATCTTTTAAATGTTTATTATGAATAAAGCTAGTCTACTCACTCATAAAGGTGATGGCTGAAAATCGGTATTTTGCCTTAAACCTGGCAAATGTTTAGCCGAACCTTGGCCTTTTGCTTTCTGCAGCAAACATATGGATATTTCATAGCTGATATCTTGTATCTTTTTTTTATTGTATTACTCTGTCTGTAAATGTTTATGTATGTTGAAGAAAAAATAAACGCATTATCTATCTATCTATCTATCTATTCTACAGTGCATTGTACGTATCTCTGAGACTCCTTGTACCGTATCAGTACAGCTCGTTAGTGTCGCTTAGCGAGTCATCATGCTTCTATCAGGCATAACCTCGTCCTGTACTCGGATGAAGCTCATTTCCTTTAGGCATCCTAAGTTACTACATATTAAGTTAGAAATATGATCAGTTTTTGAAGTTATACTTCTTTAGGCGCGTTATGAAAAAATGATGAGAGTGAAATTTTAAGATGACTGTTACTTTTGTGTTTACCGCACATTAAGAAAATCTACCAACAAAATAGAAACAGAATCTCTATTTAGTGGGTGCTAACGACTGCATTGTGAAGGCCTATCAAAAGTATTTATTAATCTGGAACAACGGAACCAAAGCGCGATTCAGGAGACTACAGCGCCATCTCTTGACCATTGGTGTAGTAGAACCAAAAACCACATCTTTATTTTTTGCAATAAAGTAACAGTTATAGGTATTCATATTTATAATATTTATCCACATGTTTCTAGTTTGTATATTCGGAATACGTGTTTGAGTTTCATACAAGTGCAAATCACATATGTTCTAATAAATTATATTCAGTAGCGATTTTAATTGAATATTTTGATTATTTATTTATTTTTTCAAATTAAAACTGAACTTTATTGACTGCGTCCTTTTCCAGACTTTTTATAATTTATTGTAATTAATTATTTGCATGCAATTAAAAACTAATTTTAAACGATGCCAAAGAAGGATAACTTCTCACGCGCCTACATAAGTACATGCACCCATTTTGTTTTTTAGATATGTATACTTTGTACGATTCACGTACGAGTATGATTAGATTACAGTTTTCAGTGGTAAATGGAGTGACCAAATATATTGTAGTCAGTAGTAGAATTTTCCTTTTAAAAAAAAAGATAGGTATCTGTTGTTCGAAAGACCTTTCTAAACACTCCTGTACATTCGGGCGTCTTAAAAGAAGCCCGAACGTACAGGAGTTAATGCCTCCCATAATTCTCCCTCGTGTGATTTTCAGTAAAAAAATGATATTGATGAGAATAATGGCTCAATTGGGGAGCTCGATGGCGCAAGTGGTTAGCGCGTTCGGTTGCGATCGTTGAATTTAAGCACCTTTTGCAGTGGTCGGTCATTGGATGGGTGACCAAAAATCTTCTATCTCGAGTTCCTCCGTGCTTTGGAAGGCACGTTAAGCCGTTGGTCCCGGCTGCATCTGCAGTCGTTAGCACCCGCCAATCCGCATCGGGCCCGCGTGGTGGGTCATGGCCCTATCTCCCTATTCCATCCATAGGGAAGGCATGTGCTCCAGCAGTGGGGACATTAATAGGCTGATGATGATGATGAATGGCTCAATTACACTTGGTCGTTACCCCGTCTTCGGGCACCCGAAGCAATATTTACACTGGGATACGGGCTGGAGACGGTGTCGAGTAACCAAGACGAAAACTACCCGAAAACGGACGTACTCAACCCTGTTCATTTACGGTTAGTCATTTTAGTCGAGTCAATAAAGACATAAAACAGGCAAAACTTGGAAACCCGGTGGAACAGCTCCGATTTTGATATTTTTTTTTAAAAAATTGGTTTTTTTATATTATTCAAAATCAGAAACATTTGGAAGGGGGGAAATAATTTTTTTTATTGTTTAAACAATATTTATGAAATTTTTATAAAAAAGTCACTTTTATCGCTTTTTTTTGAAAACAATATTATTATGTTAATGTTAGTATAAAACATAGTTGTTAAAATGAGGCTTTTAATAATAATTTAATATTTAAACCATTAAAATACGATGTATTGGTCAATAATACGAATGCGTTGAGCACTTACGTTATATTTTAGTTACTTCATATATATATTATAGATAGGTCCGACAAATGACTCCACCCCACCTGATGTTAAGTGAAGGTGAAGTCCAGACGCGAAGATAGCTGATACAGCAGTTCTACCTGCCACACCAGCCATCCTCACCCTGCCGGCCTCCATGTTGCTTCTTCACGCCTCTTTTAAAGGATCCCAGGTTGTAAGGGGGACGGAACACGTGAGCGGGCAGAGCATTGCATTTACGGATAGTGCGACAAAGAAATGAGTCACCAAATTTCTTTGTACGCGTTGGAATTGTGGCCACAGTAAGACGGTGACAACGTAGGCCAGCGCGCGTGGTCCTCTTAAGGAAAGGGGAAGGTGGGATAAGAGAGAATAACTCCTCAGAACACTCGCCGTGGTACAGACGATAGAACGCGCTTAGTGACGCCACGTCACGGCTCAAGGTGTTGAGTCACCTCCTCATTGCCTATGATGCGGATCGCGCGCCGCTGTAACCTATCCAAAGCATCGAGCAAGTACTTGGCGGAGCCATCACAGAGGTGCGAGCAATATTCCACGCAGGACCGCACTTGCGTTTTGTACAACAAGCACAGTTGATCGGACGTGAAAGAGCGCCGTACCTTGTTCAGGACTCCGAGTTTGCGTGAAGCTGTTTTGATCACGATTTCGATGTAGTCCTTTGGATTCAGGTCTGAGCGAACTTCCATACCGAGCATAGAAATGTTGCTCTGTAGCGGTAGTGTTTTGCCCTGAAGATGATAAATAAATAAAATAAATATAAAATAAGATGAAGGGTCAGATGGTTATTAAGGAGCTTTTCTAGAACTTTACTTAAAACTGAGATGACTGCTATTGGCCGGTAGTTTGCTGGGTCTGAGCGATCCCCTTTTTTGGGCACCGGTTGCACGTTAGCATCTCTCCAAGTCTCCGGCACACGCCCCAAAGAATACGAGCATTGGTACAAGCGCGTGAGCACAGGAGACAACTCCGTTGCACATTTTTTCAGTACTACTGCTGGGATGCCATCAGGTCCACTAGCTTTCCGGACGTCGAGTGATTGCAATTCGGCACGAATCTCACACTACCTGATTTTAATATCAGGCATCGTTGTGCCACAATGAGGTAATGATGGTGGTAGTGCATTGCAATTATCGGGAGTTAGCCGCAAAGAGTTTTGCCAGTAAATCGGCTTTCTCCTGCGGCTTATGAGCTAGAGTTCCGTCTGGGCATCTCAGAGGTGGCAGCGAGGGCTGGCAGAAGGATTTTTGCACGGCTTTGGCCAAACTCCAGTAGCTACGGGAGCGTAGGATGCGTTATAAGTTCCTGGCCAATACGTGCAACGCGCTGGGCATCCGCTCTGATGTAAGCCTTGGAAGCAAAATTGTAGGCTGCTTTGAGTGAATCGACCTCGGGATCCTTGAGAGCGCGGCCTTTGACCCAATATATATATCTATATATCATTTTTTTTTATTAATATTTTTTTATTTATGTTAATAATGAAACTATTAATTTCTTATATTTCATGAAATATATTCTAACTTTTTATGTATATCAGCGTCATGTCATTATATTACATGAAAGATCTTATAATTAATTGTTTTTAAAAGTTTTTGATATAATAACATGTAAATTAAAATTATTTGTGATAACAATATGAAAACAATAACATAAACATATTTTTTTGTGAGTTTTCAATTGATATTTTATAAAAAAAACATTTTTTTCTAATAATGTCATAAAAATTGTTTAAACAATATAAAAAAATATTTCCCCCTCTCCAGAGGTTTCTGATTTCAAATAATATAAAAAAACAAAATTATTAAAAAAAAATCATCAAAATCGAAGCTGTTCCACCGGGTTTCCAGGTAAAAAGCATCATTGACTCGACTATTTATCCGAATTCCATTGCAACCGTATTCGGGCTATAGAATGAATTCCTACTTTAATAGAGTAAATCAATTTTTCAATAATAATTATTCAAGTGATGTGGACGTATTCCTGGCGAGACAAAATTATTTCAAAAAGATTGTGAATAGTATTTTTTTTAATAATAATAATAAAACCTAATTTAAATTACTTTATATTTTTATCACCATTTTCTCTGTGGGTATGGCTTTATACTTAATTTTTTACTTCTGTGTTTTTATTTTTATATAGTTCTGTGTTTTTATTAATCTACGGCATCGATTGGATTAAGTATATTTTATTTGAGTTGTATATGTGAAAACTATATAAGGCATATCAATGCTACATCATCTCGTTTTATCCTTAGTTTTAACATGCTGTTTGTTTTCCATGAATAAATAAATAAAATAAATAAATAAATAAGTCTTACCTCCTAAACGCAGCTCAGCGGCAGCCTGCGCGCTATCCATGTCCCTCTCGGCGAAGCACTGGTACATTCCGCGGTGCGCCCGCACCACCCCGTGGACCCTCAGGACCTTCTCTCCGCCTCCCACCGGCACCCCGTCATGCAACCAACGCACTCTAGCGTCACCGCCTTCCACTGAACAGTTGAACGACACCGAACTGCCGGAGTTTGCGATCTGCCAAAAAAATTGGTTAAGATAGGGGGCGTCCATAAATTACGTGAGATGTTTAAGGGGGGGAGGGGGTCGAGTCAAATCTCATCTAATCTTACGTTGGAGAGAGGGGGGTCTCGGCAAATATCACGCAATTTTTTATAACTCTCAGCAATATTGATTACTAGTCTTAACTAGTCGTAAATAAAAGCAAGAAGCATTTTTTTTTCTTTTTACAATAACAATCCAACGTGTTTACGAAAGAAACCCACATTTTGAAAAATCTCACGTGAGATTGGGGGATGGGGGAGGGGGTTGAATAAAATCTCACGACATCTCACCAGTGGGGAGGGAGAGACAGAAAATCCAAAAAAACTCCTCACGTAATTTATGGTCCATAGCTATAGATAATGCGTTTATTGTTTTCCTCAACATATACATTATATACATTTCATTCAGATACAAGAAATCGTATGCTGCAGAAAACAAAAGGCCAAGGCTCGGCTAAATATTTGCCAGTTTTAAGGCGAAACACCGATTTTCAGCCATCACCTTTTTGAGTGAGTAGATTAGCTTTATACAGGTTGTTACAGAATTCCGAAATAAAATTTGTAGGTATGTATTCCGAAATTAAAATTTGTAGGTATCTGAGTGGGGTGCAGGGGCGCCTGTGGGAGAGAGGAGGGTCTGTTTAGGTAGACGTAATTGTACGCATTTATAGGGTTGTCATAGGCAGGTGTAAAACGATATTTTTATTAATTTAATTAGAAAATAAAAGTGGTCTGAAAGGCGTCAAACTTTCTTAGGTAATTCTATACAAGGAACACAACCAAACCCTAAAGTTTTATTTCGGACTTTTGTCACACCCTGTATAATGAACATTGAAAGATTTTGCAAGGAGAAAAGTTTTTTTTTTTAAGTTTAAAGGTCTTGGATGAAATCCATACAGCTAATTCTTCATTAGGACAAAAGATAAAACAGCCATGACAATGTAGTGGAGACAAGCACAGATTAACTACAGTATAGAGTCAAGTGGTTGTCTGTAAAGGCGGTTTACGGACGATAATTTTACGTGATAACGTGATAAAGAAACATTGATGAAAAATAGATATGACGACATTTTCTTTTTTTCGTTTATCAGATATATTATAAAAAAGTATTGGACACGTATATTTTCTTTTTTCACATAATATAAACATTGCAGAGATATACTGATTTGAAAAGTCGCATGACGTCACGTTTTGGTACAATTTTTACTTAAAAGTGACGTCACGAGCCCCTACTCCCAAACTTTGACGCGCTTTATCATTGTCATTTTTTTGGTTGATTGCCCAAAGAAAAAATACGTGTCCATTATTTTTTGATCATCTAACTGACGGACTAAATAGAATTTCGTTTACTGTACCCCGTCTTCACCCCTATTATATAATTACTAGCTCTGATGACACGCGAGAAGAGAGATAAATGTGTACAATCAAGAAATGAAGAAACTTTTACTAACTCCAAACAGGACTTCACTGAATCAAAGATACAGAACAAAGTAAGTCTAATATGACCAATGTAAGATTGCTCCATATTATAAGAAAAAATCTCCGTGCTTCGGAAGGCACGTTAAGCCGTTGGTCCCGGCTGCATCTGCTGTCGTTAGCACCCACCAATCCGCACTGGGCCCGTGTGGTGGGTCATGGCCCAATCTCCCTATTTCATCCATAGGGAAGGCGCTCCAGCAGTGGGGACATTAATAGGCTGATGATGATGATGATAAGAAAAAATTAACATAGCTTTGACCTCAAAGAAGATGATGAATTTATGTTTTTTTTTTTAAGTTTCGACTTTTATAATAAAAGAACCATTAAAAATAAAAAAATACAAAAAAAAATTACTGATTAGTATAGGTCTCGTCTCATCATAATTTAAAATTATTTACAACAGCAATTGGAAAAAAGTGCCCCGTATATTTGTTGTCCAGACTTTTTTGCGTGTGGGCAAGATATATGATGTTATATGTCTCGCTTTTATAAACATAAAATAAGACTGAAAATTTCTGTCATTGTTGATAGTGTGTTGATGTTGGCTGTTTCCAAAGACGCCTCGTAGAGCCTCTTCTGTTAGGCGCCCACCATTACTCGGCCAATAGGAGGTTCAAAGTTGTTCCGGTAGTCTAGCAATGAACGTGTGGTGATTGGTGACGTCCGAGGGTGACGTGCCAAATCTATATAAAAATTACATTATCAAATAGTTTGTTATGTGTGTAGTGGAGTTCGCTCACCTAGCAGAGACCAGAAGCGCTTGGTCTAGTGCATGCCCGGGAGTGGATCCACCAACTTCTCTATCTTCTCAGAGACAGTGGGACGAGCCGCTCAGTTTGCGTTTTCAGAGTGATCTTTTAGCTTCTTCTGAAAACGCCACTGAGCGTGCTCAACTTCTAGCGGTCTTTCAGGTAGAGTCTGGTTACTGGCCACAAGCTTTATCTTCAGCCAGTATCGGGACTTTGCTTGACAAGAGCACTCTGTCTCTGGTAATATCGCTTCGACTTGGTGTCAAGACTATTCATCCCCACCATTGTCGTTGCGGTACTCTCATCGGTGAGTTGGGTCACCATGGTCTCTCATGTCAAATGAGCGTTTGCTGAGATCCGCAGAGCTCTTGTCGCAGTCAACGTGCCAGCGATCCTTGAGCCTAGCGGCATTTTTCGTGACGATGGCAAGAGATCTGACGGAATGACGCTCATTCCGTGGAAGCAGGGTCGCCCTCTTGTGTGGGACGCAACTTGCGCGGATACGCTTGCTCCGTGCCACACAGGGAGCAGCTTCCTTGCTGCGGGTGCGACGGCCTCTGCTGAATGCTCCAAACGGCGCAAATGTTCAGCTCTCAGTGAGAACTATGTATTTGTGCCGTTTGGTGTTGCGTCCATGGGCCCATGGGATCCAAGCGCTCGCTCTTTTTTAAGGAAATATCAAAGAGACTCACCGAAGTTACTGGTGATCAAAAGGCTGGCAGCTATCTTGGTCAACGGATCAGCCTTGCCATTCAACGTGGCAATGCTGCCAGCCTATTGGGCACCATCTCTGACGGTGGCGCTGGGGGCGACTTATTTTTTATTGTGTAAATAAGATGTTATTTATAAGTAGGTTAAGGAAATCTGTATTTCAATTTTATACATGTATATATTTAAACTAGTTACATAATTTACTTAATTGTAAAAATAAAAGTTTTTGTGGATTATTAGAAACATTAATTAATATTTTTTTGTTTACCACTTAATTAGTTTCAATTTGTTTTATCTTTCTAATTAATTTGTAATAGATATGCTAATAAACTCAAAATACTCCAGAGTTCCTAAGGCGCTTTGCAGACGACGGGGCAGGGCGGGCCGGTCAATTTCGCCGCGAACGATAGCAGAACGCTGCCCACCGTGGATCATACAAACCAGTTTATATGCAGTAACGCCGACGGCGGCGCGGGGCCGTCAGCTCAGTCCGCGCCACGCGCTTATTAGTGATGGACTATTCACTAGAACGAACGTCCTGAACTGACTGCCTCTGCCCGTCATGTGCTTTGTGTACGCGGCGCGGGCAGCCGCAGACATCGACGGGCAGACGCGGTTTTTATTGCTTCGCGGACAAAATGCCCGCCCCGCCCCGTCGTCTGCAAAACGCCTAAAACTGCCTTATTAAGTTTCACATGAGAAAGTGTTAAGGAAAATAAATAAAGTTTGGTACAGAGACTGCCCACTAACTCGCAACAAACGAATTAACTCAATTACCCAACTGTCCGAAGTAGAAAAAGTCATGTAAAAGTGACCGTCTTTCTTCGCCAAGACAATTCGTCGCTTCGATCTTATGTATAAATAATTCAGCGACGTCACGGCATGGACTTGTATCTTGAATCACTCGTTTAGCAATACTTTGTTTAGTTCACATAAACGAGATATTGTTATTTCAAGATTTAGAATTGGTTAATCAAGTAAAACGTAATTGGTTAACAAAGTGTCGTGTGAGGCGGGTCGTTGCGTTCCCTAAAAAATGGTTGAGCGAAGCGATCCCGTTCACGAGCATGACGCATGAACCAGCCATGCGTCATGCTCGTGAACGGGTGCTGCCAGCGGAGATGAGTCTGCTCTTGCTTCATTGGATACTATTAACCGTTGTACTAAACTTTAATCGTTCATTTTTTTTTTGCCTAAACAGCAGGACACGGCATTCCTAAACTTTGTTAAACCAGTTTTTTATATAGTCATAATTTTTATTATATTAGCATTTGTAATGGAAAGTGACTTTATGAGTTACCTCATATTGAAGTCATTTTTCAATTTGACGACTCTGTATACAATACAGGGAGAAAAAAACAGCCCTTGCTGAGTTTCTTGCCGGTTCTTCTCAGTACAAGGTCTCCCGCCGTAGATTTGCGAACCGATGGCGTAGCTTTTCGACATTCACAAGTGCTTGTAACAGCCTAGACTGAATAAACGATATTGAATTTTGAATTTTGAAACAGTCAAAACTCATTAACTGCCTCTGCTTAGAAAAAATCGTTTAATTTAGATACGTGATTTAATTTATTGTTTTAAACTTTCATGGTCACTAACATTATAGCTATTAACGGGATTGTTACCATTTACCTTGTTTTTTATAAATCTCCGATATTTCGGAAATGTTGCAAGCGCCATGATCACGGAGTAACTGAAGTAATTGCGGGTAGATGTTATTGGCAGACATATCGGTCTACCCTCTGACGTCGTCTTTTACTGCGTTCGATACCCCTACCATTGGTCACATTCTCACTATTCAGAGATTTAATTTAATGTCAAATGTTGTGCAAATGTCACGTGCATTGACCCGTAAAAAAGTAGTTTTATTTAATGAGTGATGTGCGTGAAAACCTAAGAAACAAATAAATGTTGTATATTTTATTACGGCTACTTGAGAGACTTATGAGTTAGCAAAGTATTAGATATTTAACCGTATCTCTGTCGTATTAATATCCAGTTGTAGATAGATGTTTCATGTCAGGAGAATGTCGAA